GGAGTCTCACTCTGTCACCCAGGCTGGAGTGCAGTGGCATGCTCATGGCCACTGAAGCCTCGACCTGCTGGGCTCAGGTGATCCCTCGCTACCACGCCCAGCTAATTTTTTGATTTACTGTAGAGATGAGGTCTCACCAAGTCACTCAGACTGGTCTCAAGCCCCTGGACTCAGGCAAGCCTCTCACCTCAGCCTCCCAAAGTGCTGGGTACAGGCTTGAGCCACTGTTCCCGGCCAGTAGTTGGACATTTTCATGTAACCAACTGCTGTGAGAGACCAGGTGGCTTCCCCTCCAAGACACCCAGGTGGAAGTTGCAACTTCCTATGACTCAACCTTCTAGAAGTCACTCAAATATCACTCCAGCCCAAATCCCTTGCTTAAAGGAATCAGAGACCAGCCTAGATTCAAAGAGAGAGAGGAACAGACCCTGCGTCTCCAAGAGGAGAGAATGGGCTGTGTCCTCAGGGAAAAAAGGATCTGATGGCGGTCATCTTGGAGAAAAGTCCCCCAAGTTTCCATCCCGCACGGAGTAGACACTCAAGTGTCAGTGCTGAAGGCAACGTGGTCAGCCCCCAGGGAGACACAGGGGCGATCCCAGGCACAGAGGCAGATTGGCTGACAGAAACAAAGTTTATTGGAGAGACAGATGGGACCGGGAAGGATTTCTCATTGCTCTTAATACCCCGCTAAGAAAAATTGGCTTGGAGAAGCAGTTCTTTATATTTGGATCAAGAGGGACAATTTCTCGAACACATCAAAGATGTACAAAAGATGTGCTTATGTCAGCTCTGCAAGGGGCGGGGCGGCTGGTGGGTAAAACAGTTGTCCTGTCAATGTCAGCCTCTCGTGCACGGATAGTCTCAAGGCTCTGACAAAAAAACTCATGGCAAATTGTTCCACGCTGTAGCCTTTCTGGTTCTTTCTTTAGCTGATCAAACTGGTGAAAACTGTTAGGAGCCTTTAGATTAATGGGGACAGACCTCGAGGCTGGCTCTTATGACCAGATCCTGTGCTATCTTTGCTGAAGGGACCACATGGTGTGAGGAGTTATGATTTTGTTTCGCCCTACAGAGGCGATCTCTCAGCTTCCGGACGCAGCACAAATGTCCCCTCCTCGGGGAAACTTTATCTGAACGCCCTGTTCAGGGAAATGAAGCCCCTCCCCACATCTGGGTCACAAACACTGTCCCATCATGGTTCAGTGTTTCTGCCATCACCACCTGCATTTACTCTGCTTCACACTCACTGTCTGTCTCCCCCTACAAGAAGGTGGCTGAGTTACTCACTCCCTGGCTCATTGTAGCTGCTCAATAAATGCCTCTTACCTAAAAGAACACCCCTTTGCAGTCTAGAAAGAAGGGCCTTAGTGATCCCTGAAGCCAATTTAGTTAACCTAGGGTCCATTCTCTTTTGGGAGTAAATGAAAAAGTATAACATCCCCCAGGAGAAGTCAAGACATACTCCCAATCCTCTACCCTGCTTGGAATTCAGCTTGGTCACGACTTGAAACCGGAAGGCAGGGCTAGGCCTGGAGGAAGTCTCTACAACGTCCAAGTCTGGCCGACCCATTCGAGGAAAGGATGGCTTTCAGGCTTGTGGTTAGGCAGGATACGCTATTGTTCTTCTGCGGATACACTGGCCTAGAATCATTCTATCGGTGCAGAGTGAATGTGTTGGAATTTCTTGGCAGATACAACACCAGGCTGGGGGTGAAGGTGCTGGTTCGAGGCACTAAGAGGCTGCCTCAGAGGGCGTGTGCCTCTCAGAGGCTTTCTGGGTCTACTCAGGTGCCAGGGCTGCAGAGTGTGGGTGGGAACACAGGTCCTGAACCCCCCACCCATCACCACCACTTATGAGCCGTGGAAGCTCGGGCAGGTTTCCTTAACGCCTCTGGCTCAGTCTTCTCTCCTATACAATGCAGATGTTAACTGCATCCACCCACAAGGCTGGCATGGGGAATTATGTATGAAGAGCACTGAGAACAGCCCCTGGCATGGGGCGAGGGCCATCTCCTTGCTTGCTAACGTTGCCGTTCGCAACAACCAAGGGCTGGCATCACCGTTTCATGACCATGAGAGTAATTGTTTCAGGAAAGGTGAATTATGGGCAAGCTTTTCTTTCCAGAATTTCCTTTGAGGTTGTTGCTACATTGTTTTAACAGCAATAAAAAAAAAAACCTCTCTCATGACAACATTGACGCTGAGGTGTGAGGATAATTATACCACTGGGTCTTCTTGTTCGGATGGGGAAAGCACTCTAATGTCCCCAGGGAATGCGAGTGGACCCACAGAATACCTGGTGCCAGGGCTCAGCGGGGTACTGCCAGAGGGTTTCATGACATACACCAAGCGCAGGTGAATCTCTGAGACGGTCAGACACCGGTCAGGGTGGGGAGACTGTCTCACGAATGGGTGGAGAGCTTGGACTTGAAAACGGAAGACCTGAACTGGCTTTTGGGTCTGGCATTCAGCAGAGTGATCTCTAAATCATATTCAAGACCTTGGGCTTGGTGTGCCTGTCTGTAAACTGGGGGTGAGTAAATCCAGCCTACCTCCAAGCACTGTGGAGCCCAAATGGGAAATGGATGGGAAGGGTTTTTGCAACTGTTAATCTTTATTAAAATAAGAAGTATCAATACTCCAAGGGTCTGTTTTCTCCCCACACGCCTCTCTCTCCCTCTGCCCCTATCCCCATTATCTTCCTGGATGCCAGCTTATTTATTTATTTATTTAT